CTGATGCTGAAACAGATGATTTGTCCCTGAATTTCGTCTTGTTTTTCCGTCGCCTGGTTTGCTTATTCGAGTCCCGACGATCAGATGATTCGGCGTGTCTCGTGTGCTCCAGAGATCGTCGCACTCTCGACAGATCCTCGTTGTGAAGAGGATCGAAAACAGCGTGATGATAGTCATATATGTCACTGTCTTCTTCTGGAAAATCCGAATTTGCAGAACGTTTGTCTCTGTTGATAGATTGGGGGGAAACCGGGGGTTTGTCTGAAGTAGATCGAATCGTGTACAGACAGTGGACAAACCACTGAGTTCCATACGCAGCCTGTAAATGGCAACGAAAATAAAATTATCATCGCTGAAAAATATAAAGTTTTCAGCATAAGTTATTCAATCAAAATCGAAAAAAAATATACGGAATGTCTCGGAAGATCTGTCAGTAAAAAAAGTTCTCTATAGAGACCAGAAGTGATTTCAGTAAAATTCTACAAATAATTGCGCAAGGAAAGCCAAGCATTAAAATCGTATAGCTAGTCTACTTCCAATTACTCAAGAAACATATTTTACATTATTTAATTTGGCAAATTCTTGCTCACCATTTGACATTTCAGGTGATCAACCTTCAATACCGGAAACAGCAGAATAAAATTACAAATATTTGTCTACTTTGCAAAGAAGTTGCCTAAATTTTAAGGCGTTTTTCCAAAAATATTAAATGCAGTACTGTTAAATGTGGACTGTCTGAAAAATAAAAAATAAACATTCGAAGCAGAAAAAAATTCTAGACGATCAGAAATCATTTTCCTTCGTGAAAAAAAAAGAAATGAGAATCTTTAAAAATAATAAAAATTACCTGAAAAAGTGGTTTGGCGATCTCTAGCTTGGGCAGAAGCCGACCCAAAAGTAGGTTTGCTAACTTGTGTTTAAAACAGGGTAAGGGCCGTATCATTCAGTATCTTGCGACAAACAAGGGTGACTTCGAGCGTAGTTTTAGGTGTGGATTGAATTCCTTGCTGGTCGAATTTGGCTCACGTCGATCCTAAATTCGCAAACATTTGAATCACAACGAAATTTCCACCAATTCTACATTATTCATTCAATCAGCATTGATACCGATGAGCACTTCATTTTCAGCGGAAAAAGTATGAAATACTCGAAGAATAAGATTCAATAAGTAAACCTGATGAGAAGCAAATGAAAAGTGTCAGATGCCTCCTGTGAGAAATTTTCGACAGAAATTAGCGACATTGACTTTTAAAGGTTGGCCAAAAGTTGAACCTTGACAAGTCAAATCTCCCAAAGTGAAATACCTCCCTCCAAGTCTAAATTCTTTCAATTCCTTGTTTGAATGCTCTTAGAAATAATGGATTAAAACCCTCTATTCAGTTTCCGAAAAGGAGCTTTCGGAAGTATTGAACTTAAAGAGGTCGGGAATAAGACCGTAAAAAATTTAAAAGTTTTCTCTTTTCGTTAGTTTTTCATTGTTACACAAAATAGTCCTACACTGCAACTAAAGTGTGAAAATTAATGAACCCCTGCCTCCAAATTCAGCATCCTGTCAACTCATTTCAGAAGCAATTTAAGGTCTATACTCTATAGAATATCCAAATTTAAAATTTAATGCAATTCTTCTATGTTTCCTACGATGAAAATCCTTGGTTACATAACTTAAACATCTATAACTTGAAACGTCCGTAAGTCTAAACCTCCCTAATTCGAATTTTTTTGCTGGTCCCTTGAAATTTGACTGAGAGGTTAGTACAGTATAGTAAGAATACAGGAATCAAAAATAAAACCAATTTTAGTTTTTACTCACGAGAATTTTGAAGTGATGCTTCAATCTTGGGCTTGGTAAAATGCATCCATATTCCTCCAGGTTCGGATTAAACTTCGGCACATGACTGTTGTCACCCGCACATAGGAAACACTTTTCAATTCTGAGACCAAAATGTCCACCCCAATTCTCCAGTGGATTCATCCTTAGCACCCCATGAATGTAGTCCTCTGTAAAAAAAAAAGTATATATATTTCAGCCCTAGTAAATTCAAAAGGTTTTACGATCAGTTTACCAGGCACGAAAGCTTCCTCCGAGTCCGAAGAAAATTCTGCCAAAATTCCAGCACTGTTGTCCGTGTGAATTCTAGACGCTGACGCAGCCACTGAAATTTTCTTCTTCAGCAGCAAGAATTGCGTGTTAAGCGAGAATTTGGAAGGCACGGGATCAGACAGCTGCTGGAAACGGATCTTGAGTGTGAAACCCGACATTTTTTGCGCAGTGCAACTCGCTTCCGGTGGCAAACGCATTGATGACATCGGGGCTCGTCCGGAATCTTTCGAGTCCCCTATTTCCGAACTGGAAGAAGTGGATGCATATGGTGTCGACGGTGACATCAGGCATGGAATCATGTTGATGGAATATGTTCCCGAGTAATCGCCAACCTTCGAAACAAAGTAGATATTCCTTATCAATATTGACGAACCTTTTTGAGCCGGTAGACCGGCAAATTTTCCGGTTTTCTTTTTCGAAGCCGACAATTTCTGCAGACTGGCAAAATTTTAGAAGACTCAAAAAAGTTTTGTTTGAAAGACTTTATCCAGGGTACTGCATTTAAATAATTTCTGTAAACAAATCAAGTTAAGAACCAATGAAGCAGCTTTAGAGTTTTCTGCAGACTGGCAAAATTTTAGAAGACTCAAAAAAGTTTTGTTTGAAAGACTTTATCCAGGGTACTGCATTTAAATAATTTCTGTAAACAAATCAAGTTAAGAACCAATGAAGCAGCTTTAGTGGAATGTCTTCAACAAATTATAAAGGTTGGCTGAATGAAAAATTAGGATGATTTACAGTATTTTAGCAAGTGGAAAGCTGTCTCAATGAAAATTATCAGAAGAAAACCCAGCTTTATTTTTCATCAGATAATGTCAACTGTCATTGTCGTTCAGAAATTTCAAATAAAGATGACAGACTTCAATTCTAATTTTGATACATTCATCATGACAAAGAAAATTTCCTGCGGACCAGCAAAAAACTTCTGCGGGCCGGCGCCCGGTCCGCGGACCACGGGTTAGGAAACACTGTTCTATATACAGAATAACGAAACCACAACCTCGCGGGTTTGGGTCTTATAATCAAACGAAACCCGCCGTAATTGTCCAGTTCTATTATGAGCAGATTATTGGCAACAATTTTTACTCGTTGATCGAACTTTTATGACCTTTCACATCCTCGTAAAATTTATCCTCAGATGACTTTATCAATGAAAGAAGAATAAATAATTTTCCTCATAAAAAAGAAGGGCGAACAAACCTTGGACATCAGAAAATCTGTAATTAGGTGCAATCACGGACATGGTACACCTGGCACAATACAATTTTAATACAGGCAAAATAAAATTCCCGTAAAATTGCAAAAAATCCCCACAAAACCCCGAAATATATCTGTGAGAACCTATTTTTATTTTGTGCTCCCAATATATAGCTTCCCTTTTATATTCTTGAAAAAAATACGGAACTTGGACAATCTTTCTAACCAGCAACCAGAAAATCATCATAGAAAGCACCTGTATAAGCTTTCTTGGTTATGATTTTTTGTAAATACTGTATACTGTACATGTTAGACGTACCAACGAGAGTAAATCTAGAATCGACTATTATAATAAGGTCGGCGAAAGAATCTGTTGAAGAAAATGTCATAAAATATTGGTACGTCAAAAGAAAACCTTACAGCGTAGTCCGAAATGAAAATCCACTCCTGCTGAGGTTTTTCAATGGTGTCCTCGGTCTTCAGCAGCTTAATATCGAATTGCAAATGAGGATGATCTTTCGATATCACGTACGATTTGTCTCTAAAAAATATAAGTTTATCAAGAAATAAATTTCAATTGCATATTATGCGTATTTCCGGGCTCACCCTTCGTTGTTTTGAAGTAGATAAAACCCTCTGAAGAAGGGTTTTGTCTTAAATTTCACTTCAAGTCTGCCATCAGGAAGCAGACGCATGCTTTGAGGATGCAATTTCCCAGATGATTTCCGAGACGAAACTGCAGCGACGCTTTCATCCGACAAGACAGCTGTGTTGTACATGAATGTCAACCTGCAAGAGCACAAATAAGAACTCTTTTTTCATTTCTGTATAGTGTCGTAAGTCAGTTTCCTCTTTCCTAAATGAAGTTTAAACAGAGGTATAGAACTACTTAGGTAGGAGGCCTAGGTGACTTTAGGAACCGTTGCATCGAGTACATGTTCCCGTGAGTCACACTCACAAAAGACTGGACCAAATTCAAAACCTGCAAAAGAATATAAGGGTGAGGACATTTCGCGAAGAAAATTTTTTTTTTTCAATTTTATAATGAACCTGATTTTCCGTCGAGATCATGCCACCGCATTTGGACATCAAGTCAGACATGTTGAAGAAGCTTCGGAACATCCATGAACACGAATCCAAGTCCAAATGACTGTATAAAACCACGGCTTCTTTTCCCCGAAGAGAGGCGTCCAATTGATAAGGTTCGACTTCTCCGATTTCCCGGAAATTGTCTCCGCGACTGAATGTCGTTTTCATGTTGAAACCAAACCTCGTCGGTTGCTGCAAAAAATTGAAATAGATCACCGTGTTCTTTAAAAATGTATTAAAAAGCCTATGCTGGTTATTAAATGAGCTTACGTATGCTTCACACTGAATATGATTTTCAAACTTTATACCCTCAATTAACTTGGCGTAGAAATACATGGAAAAGCATGTCCCACTTTTTCTCAAGTTTCTTGCGTATTTAAATAATTCTATAGGGTTGATGAATCAAAAATTGAAAGAAATCACATTATTCAGGTTCAAAAAATTTCAACAAGCATTCAAGTTCTTAAAGTTTTTTGTCGAATTACATCGAGATATGATTTCAATATAAGAATCAGCTCACGAGATTAGAATTTTATGATATATCACTTTTATTATTTCGATTGAGAGAAATCTTGGACTTGTCTGATACTAGCTCATAATTTCTTGTATATTTAAAAAAAAATGCATAATACTTCTCAACGTAGAGCAAGGAAAGCTGTCAAATGAATCTTATTTTTCTCTAAAATTTGCCCTATGTTTTTGCGTTGGTAAACCACAATGAACTTCACCAGATGCAAGTAGGCATAAAAAAGCCATTCCAATTGATGCACTGTTTAATCCTGCTTTTTTCATCTAAATGTAAAATCAAACCGAAAGGGATAATTTTAATTTCTTGTGGAGATTGTTTGATTTTATCGCGGTTTTTTTCATATAGAAACGTTTGCACAAAACGAATTCTGGACATATGAAACAGATATTCATTTATATACCTCTTCAGGAAGCAGCAGATTCGAGCAAAAATGCTCAGATGTACGAACTGTGCTCAGAGGACTTAGAGTTATTTGGAGCGGCTTCAAAATTGGTCTTGTGGAGAAAACCGGCAGCAATCCGTCGGCATGAGGGACAATAACGTCGAATTCCACTAAATCTGGGTGCGAAGGGTCGTCTGAAATTTAAAATGAAAATACATTTCAGATTCCCTGAATGCCGCATGCACAAGGAAAAAAAAGAGAGAGAATGAAATCTATGAATATATACGCACCCGAGTAGCGGATTTTCGACAAGAAAGGTTCGGAACCGAAAGCGTCGTGTTTGCGAGGACACAAGCCCCGAGTTTTTGAAATCCGGACAATGTTTGAAGCCGTTTCGATCCCCTTTTTCCCATCTATTGCCACTGCAGTTGTCAAACACTGGACCCGACCACCTGGCGTCAAGTAAATGCTGTCCAACGTAATTCTATCAACCCTGAAATGCAAGAAAAAAAGGTCTCCGTTTAACCGAATTCTTCTGTGACGAAACGAAATTCTTCTGGGAAGTAAAAGATAATTTCGGGCGTTTTACCCATTCACAGTCATATATACGTACATGTTTTTGATAAGCTACAGAACATAAATGCGCGGCTTTAAATAAGTTCTTTTAATCAACAGCGAGACTTAACTTTTATTATTTCGATTGAGAGAAATCTTGGACTTGTCTGATACTAGCTCATAATTTTTTATCGTTCTGGAAAAATGAGGAATAAAAGTTGGATTACTCCAAATTTAAAAAATAATCTACCTCGTCCCACCTTGGCTCACATTTTGGTGGAAAATCTCCTCTCTGAAACTTATTTACTTATTCTTTTATGAATACATTTTCCATTAAAAAAATTATGAAGAACTCAAGTTATTTTTCAACGATGAGGTGCTGCTGATAAGAATATCTCGCATGCTGAGAATCATGAAAAAAAAATTCGAAAACCTGAAAAGGTGCTAAAAACATTCTGAAGTTCATGATGGTAGACCGCTTATGACTCATCATGACTTCATGAGCAAAGCCACGCGTAATTAAGACAACCTTCGTATTTCATCATCTCTGAAAGAGAAAATAAAGCGAACCTTGTGAAGATGGTATCGTCATTCAAATCTAGCAATTCTTCACTCGTTGACCCACTGATCTTCCACCGGAATCTTGTCATTGAATCGTCAATCCCTTCCTTGTTGCAAATCTTTTCTGTCCCATTGGCAAAATCCGGATGTTTTCGATGACACGACTGAAATTTTAAAGAATATATTTTCAAAAGTGAAAAAAATATTTCGAGACAGTCATTTGACTTCATGGACACTGACACAAATTTCGTCGTGACCAATTCATTCATAAAGATTATTTTCTTGAGGACATCCTTGCAGGTTAGCCAATTTATTAAAATCTCGATAACGATAACGGGTTTTTAACAACAACATATTGTTTCAAGATCCCCATGTTTTCGTTGTAGCGGGATACCACTTCAAAAGATTATTCTCACCGAAATGCAGACCAAAGGATAACCATTCATGGGCTCAATTTGAGCAACTGCTGCAAAGTCCAGGTCTCGCAAAGATGCCACAATTGGAGGAGCAGGAAAAGCAACCAATTCACTCAAACCACCGTCCTGTTTAGATTGAAATACAGTATTTTAGAATAAAAATATTTCTTCAGCCCAATAAATATCAAGAGCAGTTTTACCAAAATTTGAACTGTAGTTTTCCTCCTGTTGGATTTGACAACACCGTTGGCCTTGTTCCCGACTGGTCTGAGCAGTAGGAAGAATGTCTCGGTGTCTTCTTTCACATTGTCAAAAAATACCTTCACTTCGATTTCAACTGACGTTGATCCCACGGCAAATCTCACATCTGTCACGGTGAACATTAATCATGGCATTTAAAAAAAATTGAAAAAAATTATCTGGAAATTATTTGTTACGTGATCCGATCGATTATAGGTCAAATAAACGAACCTTTGCTAACGGCTTCAAAGTCCTTTCCAGCTTTTGCTGATCCATCTTTGGAATAAATGTGGATCACTGAAGACGATGAAACGTCTCCAGTTCGAACAAGTTCAACAGCTAGTCTTCCCGGCGATTTAATAGCTGTCTTCGGCTCCGCAATCCTTAGTTTATCACTCGCAAATTGAATCATGGGTTCTACAAAAAAAGAGGTCTAGGATTAATTGTAAATTTTATTTTCGTTCTTTGGAATTTTACCATCTTCTGGATCGATTATGTTGATCAAGATGTCTGATCTTGGGCCGATTTTCGGAGTGTGTTTCCAAACAATGCCCGAAGAACTGTTGGTCAAGGAAATATCCGAGAGGACGAGGCGGAAAACTTCTTGCGGAAGATCGAGTAGTAGTAGCTAGTTGCTGTGCAACGTTAATAAGTCAAGAACCGGACCCTAACTTTATAAAATTTTACTTAGGTCCTTGTAAAAGTTATTTTTAGGTTGTCAAAAAAAAAAGAAGTAGAGAAAAAGTCAACTGATCGAGGTTTACTACTTATTTAAAGGCATTCATTCAAAAATAGTTGCTGCTTCAGGATAAAAGAACGCACTGTAATGTTTGGTATACTTTTGAGAAAATGCTTCACATTTATTGGACCGGGAAAAAGATGAAAGTCAATCCCCCTTCACTTATTAAATAAGGGATTTTTCGGTATAAAAAATAGTTTAAGCATTAATTCCTTCGGATAAGCACAAAGACACTTTCGAGAAGTGCTATCACATGTTAATTTTTTCCAATATTCCTTTCCGTCATTTTCAAAATCTGCAAACGATTTTAATAAAAAATAATATGGTTTTGGGACATATTTTCAGCGTTGTTTTGCCATACTGTACATAATTCAGGAGCAAACGGTTGCTCAAATGATCAGCGTTGATTTTGGAGGAAATTGAATGAACAGAGACTTCTCTCAAGTCTATTGTTATTTATTTCGAACATTTTAGACTTAAGATTTTTTATATCCAAAGACTTGAATACTGTTCACTTAGAACTTTGTTTAAACGTATACTGAATAGTTCATTATAAAATTAGAATCAGGGATTCGAATTTCAGCTGGCATATATGAGAAGAATGGAAAAGTTGGAAAAAGTGGTAACTGACCAGATTTGAATTCGATCACGGAGTCTTCAGAGTTCGCGCGTCGTTCGACAAAATCTGACCCAGCGCTTGCTGAACGTGACCTGGTGTGGCAAGCAAGGGTCACCGGATAACTCAAATCTCCCCAGCGCTTCACCGGAACCGACACCACACCTGAGTTCTCATTCACTGTCAACGACTTGACCTCGAACCCGACCATATTTCCTAAAATGAAATATCGAAACCAAAAATTTAAAATAAGCTGTTGTATTCAAAACACGTAGCCAAAAACGTATTAGAAACTCCTTCGTCGTTTAAAATATTGCTCCACCGTTTGTGCTTCCGCAGAATGCTTTTTTAAGCTTGGCATCCCGAAAATCGGATTATTCTTTCGCTCGATTAAATTAATCCTGCACAGCGAAATCTTGTTTATCAGTTAACGTGTGAAATTTTCAATGATCCGAACTCAATTTTTTTCAAAAGAGTGCTTTATAGAGTGGAAGTAAGGACCAAAGAAGGTGTATTTGGTGTCGAAGAAAGCCTACCCGGTTTGCAGGTCGGTCTCCCACCCAGTTCTTTTCAAACTTTCTCAGAAACTTTGGACGACCAGAGCCTGATGATGATGACGATGATTGTACTTCTTCAGAACTCAGACTAGTGCCAGCAATTTCATTATCATGGTCACGAATGCCCCTATGGCTCGAAGGTAACAATTCCACGGGAACCAACATTACTCACTGCAGAGACGGTTTAGGGTATAAGTAGTGCTAGCTGAGACTAAACAGGAGAAATAAGCACCGAAGTCGACCGCACCTTCCTAGATATCTTTTTGTTGTAGTTCTGTTGTACAAGTAAAATTAATTTTTCGGTACGTGATTTCCGAGGCCACTGATAAACACCGCAGTTCTGAATCCAGTCGAACATCTCCAAGTCGAATTTCAAGGGATCAGCGAACAAATTTTACTTACCGTACGGTTTTGAACTAGGAAGGTTTCCAAGTCAGGGAAAGAAACATTTTTGTTGTGGGAAACGTAGAATACTTGCAGGAAATTGTAAATGGTGATATTATGGGCCTTAAATTGACTCTCTTAAATGATTTTATATAGCGTGCTTAACTGGGAGGCAGGGGTTCATTTACCCAATTAGTCTTTCACTTCCTTTCAAAACACGTCCAGCAGTCGCTTTTTATTTCTTTTCTCTTCTAAGAAAATGATAGTTAGAAGTCCTCAGAAAATTCGAATTAGGATGAGGTTTGCGAGGAAAAGCCTTCGAGTTATTTGGAATGTTTTCAATATGCACTGTTTCTGAAGGAATTCAGACGGGGACTTAGAAAAAACGGATTAGTTCGGTATTCGACTTTGGGAGGTTCGAGTTTTTGAAGTTCCACTGTATATGTACTCTTTAAAGTTTCATCAAAAAAGATTGAAGGTTCTGATAGAATCCCAGATCTTCATGTGTGAAACATTGAATTTTTTTGAGCATTTAAATTATTACGTCTTTGGCATCGATTTCTTCGAAAACCAAGTTAGAGTTCTTACAGACAATCAACATATTTAGCACCTATATATATAGTCAAACATCTTTCACAGCCTAAAAAAAAAACTCTTAGCAGCATGAGTTAATCAATCACTTCCCGGCATGATAAATAGTCAAAAGCCTTTTCCCACAGACGCGCTTTTGCATCGATGTCTTCAAAAATCCAGTTAGAGTTCTTACAGCCACTAAAAATATTCAGTACCTATATAGTCAAACATCTTTCACGGCTGAAAGAAAAACTCTTTGAAGCATGAGTTAATCAATCACTTCCAGGCATGACTACAAGTGAAGTCAAAGCCTTTTTCCCAGACGAACATAATTTAAAGCGGGACCTGGACTCCCGCCGAGGTGAGATCACGAGGCTCTGATGATCAATGTTACATATTTATCCCGGAAGTCCGCTCATTTTCTCTTGTTGTGGTGGGTGGTCCAGCCATCCTAATAATCTCTCATCGCTGATTCCGTATCGCTGATCAATTCAAAGGTAAACATCATTTACTGCTCCCGGCGGTTGCTTCTGGATATTCCATCACACCGCAGGGAGCCCAATCTCGAGATCTCGACAAGACACTGAAACAAGGCGTCACGAAGAAGTAATCCGAGCTGCGGGGTGAACGATAATATTGGGTATATTATAAATGGAACATTTTTATTGCCTAGACCAGTGTTCCCCAACCTATTTGGTCCCGCGAAACGGCAAATTTCAAAACAATTTTCCGCGGACTGGCAAAGTTTCATGAAATTTCCTGAGGACCAACAAATTTTCATAAAATTTTTGCATGCTCAAAAAGTGTTGCTTGAAAGACATCTTGCATGGCAGGTATTTGAAAAGCTTCTGCTTTTTTTGTGAAATTTATTCAGGATAATCAGGAACCAATGAAGCAGCTATATAGTGGAATTTCTGCAAAAAAGGTGGGCTTGTATTTCAGACGCAAAAATTAAAATAATTTATTAAATCAGGTAAAAAATTGTCTGAAGTATTATTAGGAGAAAAGCCAAGATATTTTTTTCATGAGATAATTTTAACTGCCATTGTCTTGCCAAAATTAAAAATAAAGATATCTTAACTTTCTTCATTGTTAATTGTGAAAAATTCATTAGCCTGGAGAAACTTCCCGCGGACCGGAAAAAAACTTCTGCGGACCGGCGCCGGTCCGCGGACCACGGGTTGGGGAACACTGGTCTAGACAATATTCTTTCAAGTGTAAAATGAAAAGTGTTGAATTCGAATGAGTGCATTTCTCAAAATAATCTATTTCAGTTCTCAGCTATTTTTTTCGGAAGAACGAAGTCCAGAACCGGAATAAAATAATCGTTCACCAAAGAAAAAGATTCATAGCTATTCCAAGCTTTGAGGAAATATTTCAAACGTTCTTCACCCTTCAAACTGATACCAAAATCATAAAAAAATATTGTTTTCTGGAAAAATACGCGAAATATTACGCTTAAATGAGGTCGCAATTAGGTTTTTTTCTTAATTTGGGACTGAAGATATTCCTAGATAATTGCCAAGTCCTCCCGTGCATGGATGCGAGAGATGTCTTAATTAAGTAAAATCGCGGATGCGGAAAACACGGAGAATAAGTGGAACAAAGTGCTGATAATGATGTCAAATTGAGATTCAAGAAGACGATATGATACTGAAACATGACATTCAGTGACGAAAATGCCACCGGGAGTTTGTCGCCATAGTTTCCGAACGAACGCTTTGATAAATGTGGTTTGATCTGTATATAAGCGATGGAATCAACAACCGGTAGCCTGTAGAGTTACTGAAGTGGAAAACATTCCGTGATCCAGTCTGAGAGCTATAATAATTTGAGGCATTCTTCTCTTGAAAAAAAAAGAAAGAATTTTTTAAACAATTTTCCTGCAGCAGGTTCTGGTTCTTCCTTTTTCCGAACCGAAGGCACCTCAAAAAAGCAAATATCGAAATTGAAACCAGGAGTCAAAATAGCAGGAATAAAAATCGAACGTTCCTCAATGTTCGGCTGGTTTTGGTTAGATTACTTCATAAAATAAATGAGTGTAAAATAATATAAGAGAATCGAGGTAGTTCATGTTGCATTAGGCTATTTACATAGCGAGTATTTCAATTTTTTGGTAGTGCAATAAAGAATGAGTTCACTTGGAATATTTTGCTTCAGTATCTGAGTTGGAATAATTTAAAATTGAACCACTCAGGTGTTGATAAATAGTTCATGACTTTCTGTTAAAAATTTCCGTAGGTATGTTCTCAAAAAATATATTCTGACATACATTATGCAGCATTCACTTTCCATTAAATACTTTTGTCTGATGTGAGGAATCGGTACACATCTTCCGATTATTTTAAACTAATTGGCAAGCAGTGGCTAAAATTGCTCATAGAATCACATATAAGCAACTTTGGTAAATAAAGTTAATCTTTTCTCATGCTGATGCGGAATATTTGCATACTTATATCTACTGATTTCGAAAAAAACCTGGATTTAGTATTACCAAAATGTTCAAATATTACATAATTCTTTGAAATTCACGAATAATAAATTCCACACACAGTATAGGAAGCCCAAAAGTAAAAATATTCGTGAATCAATCCTCGAATTCCTGCTCTTCTGCGTACATATTTTTTCTGAAACTCGCCTCATTCTGTAAAAATTACGAAAAATCTCGGTTCCACGCAGGAAGCACATGAAACAAAAAATCCATCAATATCAATTTTCACATTTACGTGATCTCCTGTGTACATGTTTTTCTGAAACTCGCTCATTTTTTGGTTCCTGTATGTAACCTCTTTACGAAACACCTCTCTTCAACTTCTGTCACCAAATCGTTGACATCAGTTTATACTTTTTCCATAAGTAAACAGAAGGATGAAAATGACGAAATCGAAGATACTGTATGTTCTCGTAGATTTACCCGAACTGTAAGCCACGGAAGTCCCGTCTCGATCCGGCACATGCTTCACAGAAGTCAGTCTCAAAGTCACTCGGGAATCCTGCGATAAATCAGGACCAGTTCGCCACACCGTCACATTCACGAACTTTTCCGAGTCCCCGACTCGGTATTCCTCGTTCCCGAAGTAAAACAGAGGAACTGGAACGATATTTATCTTGGGTCATCAATCATTTCCCGGAAGGAAAAATAAAGACGACAAAATAAAACGACGAACTCACCGTCGGCAGCATCCGCAAGAATCGTGACGGAAGTTTCGTGTTCGGCGATTCGACCGCCGCGTGCGTTCGACAAATAAACGCCGAATTGCTCATCTTCCTCATACTTGACATCGTTGATTATGTCGATGATGCAGTGAGCAGTTTCCTGTTCCGGTTTGAAATTCAAGCGGTAAGCGGAAGCCGAGGAACGCTCGATTTTGCGCCACACGAAATCGACCGGCGCTGTCGCTTTCGCATCCCCGCCAACAGCAGTTCCTGAATAAGAAAACATATCCGTCAAGTAAATAGAACTAAAAATCTTAAATTTTTATTTGGAAGGAAGAAAATTAGAAGAATTTACCATCTCGAGTCAAACAATCAACGGACATTTCATTCGAAATGTCGCCTTTCCGATGAACGACGATTTTCACGCTGCCGGATTTCTCCTCGACGGAGTAGGATCTTGTCGCAATGAATACCGTCGGCTCTGTGGAAATATTTTTTCGTCAATTCATCCGAGATCGTACAAAAATTTCAACATGTTTCGTTCATTTACCATCTTCGGGATCTTCGATTTGTACAATTGCTGACTTGAGTTCCGAGTTGACAACAGCAGCGTTTTTCGGTTCGACCAAAGAAAGCGCAAACGTTTCCGGGCGCTCGAAATTCGGATCATCCAGAATTTTGATTCTGTAAACTCCTCGTCGTTGCCCTGGGGCAAATTCGACTAATCCTGTCTCAATTCCAAGTGGCACCAATTCAAAATCCTTTCCTCGAACCGCTGTCAAGGGCTGCACAGATATTCCTTAAAAAAATTAAGAATTCAACAAGTATTATGAGTTGCCGAAGAGCGAAGCTTTCTGATTATGAAGAATATTATTTTAAAAATATTGAGCAATTGAAATTCATCCCGTAAGAAAGTCGCTACACTGTGAATTATTTCAGAGGTAGACTCTGATAAAAATACTGTATCATGAATAACGAGGATAAATTTTAAATATTGTGTTGAATTTTTGCAACGGGAAATCAAGAAAGAAGTCAAATAGTCTTTAAAACTCTACTTTTACATATAAATAGAAGCTGTGATGCAAAAAATATTTTAATTTTAAGCTCACACAATTATTGCCTTATTAAAAAAAGGAATTACAGTTGTCACATGCAGGTTTCTTGAAGAGCTTGAAAGTACTTGTGTGGACTATTTTCATAATTTCACGAACCATCGAATGACTAGCAAAAAGCCAGCAGAACACACATACCCACTGCTTGAAGAGTCAATTTTTTTATAGGAAAAAAATAATTGTAAATGCTGGAAAACGAAGCTACGCGTGTTTTACCTCTATATACGCACTTGCTCAATTTTTCAGCAAATCACTAAATACTGCATAGGATTTTTTCAAAGAAATATTTCTACTTTTTCTGGCCCATCCAAGCCCTCGACATGAAATTTACAGGCTCAAAATTCGTCATACAAATATATCTTCAGGTGAATTTGTTTCAAGAATTTAGTCCATCTGAATTCACAAGAAAAAGGACCCAATTTTTAGGCCTTTCAATGCGTCACTTTATGCATATTTGGAATATTCCAAGCGTCAGAGAGAAAAAAAAATAACGAGATTAACGAGACATATAAAGCGAGCATAAAACAAGGAATACTCAAACACAAGGCCAATTCGTGCTTCTTCATCTTCACCAGGGAAGGTATCAAGTCAGATCTCGATTTAGATACGAAAAACCAAAGTAGGCAGTGATGATCGTGGCAGGCTTCGAAGCAGGCGTTCTTTGTCATTATCGAACCAACAACATCGTAGGCATAGCAATTCCAGGTTCCAGCCCACGCCTCGTAGAAAAAAAAATCTAAATTGCCGTCTAATTGTGCCCTCCAATCTCGCGGCTATTGACAATAATCGAGTGGCAGCATCGAGGCTTCGAATGTATCAGGAAAGCTTTCATATTCGGGGCAGACGAGGGACAAAAGCGCGTATGGAATGAGGTTCTTTTGCGGAACATTCCTGGTTTCCCGAATATTTCTTTTGGGCGAACAAAGGCTTCCATTCGAACTGATGGCTCTTCGGTCGACTCGACACTGAGTGGGTTTCTAATTTACGATGACTTACATTTTTATACAGTACAGTGTTCAAATATGGCATGGGGTCAAAAACCCCGGCGTGGAAATTCAAAAAGCACTCTTGGCAGAAGAATCAGGATACGAATCCTCTAGCTTATGTATAACAGTCAAATTCTAAACGGCGGAGAAGTGAGGAAGACTTTGGCAAAATTAATTCGTCATATTCACTATTTCTTAAAGGTCCTGCATAATAAAACAATGTGTCTGACGTCGTGAAATTTATTGTAAAATATCTAATTAATTAAAATTTTACTCAAAAAATGTACGAATAAGGTACCGTATTTTAATTGGCTCATATTATACGGACACGGTTTATAATTTTCAAACAAATCGTCGTCAAAATTCCGCCAGTCTTTCATCACAGCTCGATTCATTCATGAAATTCCATTCAGTGAAGGTAGATTTCAAGTTCATAGTGTCATGTTATAGTCCTCTCAGACGTTTATAAGCTCCTAATTTTGGCAGTATTTCTAATATGAAAATCATTCGCGCCATTAATTAAAGTTTGAGTTTGAATGCAACAATAGTAAATTGTACAGTATGAACCACTTTCAGAGAAAAAGTCAGTTGCCGTGAATAAAAAAAAACTCACCAATGCTCGATTGTTCTCCCAAATATCCTTTCCTGTCAACAAGGACTTCGACGTGTCGATGGGTTTCATTGACGAAGTAGTTATGATCCGAAAATGACACCCATGCCCATTTGAATGTGAACTCAAATGGCCCGTTCTCATTTCCAGCTGAAAAATAAAAAAAATCATTCATTATTTACTGCGTTAGGTCGGCCATCCTTCGCAATAATGCTCGGAGTTAAAATAATTTCCCAATGCCATTCGTTTTTTTTTTTTTTTACAAAAACGAAAGCAATAAGGGAGCGATAATGAGCCAGTGAATGAAGTTATGACGTCAGTGAATCATTTTCGAACAACGAAGGCATTGTGAAGCTGTTTTCGATCGAGAACGGTTTCTTCGCTTTTTCTTGCAAAAAAGAAATCCCATTTATTCATTGTCAAGTGAGGCCTTATACTTGTTGAGGACATAAATTTAAATTGTAAAGAATAAATGTCTCGATCGAAAGACGGAAGGTCTTTGGGAAAAATCCCCAATTCCAATCACGAAACACTCACCCGAAATAAGACACATTTTACGAAATGTTTTGATTCAAATTACACTACTTTTCATGTCGTGGAGATTCTTGTAAGGGTGAGCAGAGGAAAAATGTCCCCATTTATACAATTCTATCGGGTATTACACTAAACCAAAAGTTGAGAAATTTCATTGGGCTCAATTTTCGACAAATATGTGCATTGAATTCTTTAAAAATTCTAGTTGCCTCGATCGGTAGTGAATAAAAAATAAAATTCGATTCACGTGACACTAAGAATGCCAGCATTGAAAGACAATTAATTTTGTTACGTCTTATTTATATACTTTAGTTTCTACACAATGGATAATATCATGAGTTGCTTGCTACGGCTTACTTTTTAAATCTTAACAAACTTTTTGGAATCACGGTTTGCATATAAACAAATTTCCAGGTTTGAATAAAGAATGAAGAAGAGCCTCGCGGGCGTTTTTATTTTCATCAGATGAACTCTGAGGTAGTATTTTGTTTTTTTTTTCTTGAAGGAAATGTGATGTTTTCCGCAGAATATCGTGTTCACGTTGAGGTTAGATTCTCAGAAATGCTGTTTTTGTCTTTTTCGGACCCTCGGTGGGAAACGTGATCTTCCTCTCCGGCGAACAGCGGGTTTCGCTTGACATTACCACCCGGCGGACGCGCATTAAACCGCATAAACGACATCGCTTTGCCAGTTCGGAAACGGCAGGAATCCCATTTATTCTGCACGTATGCTATCCATTCTAGGACAATTGTTTTCCTCCTAAATGGGAAGTGCGTCATTTTATTTTAGTTTCCTCATAAGTTTCTCTCGCGCTCTCATATCGATTCGAAGTGGACTTTTGGCCAGCATTTTTTATGATGCATTTCGTTACACTCGGATTCTCCATGCGCTCCTCTGGTACACAAAAACAATGTGCTTGAATACTGGATTTATTTCACGATTGGGTGATTTAGTAAAGAAATGCTGTTTTAGAAATTCCAGTGCAATAAACGGTGTTCCAGTCTTCTTAACAATTTATAACTGCATTTTAAAAGCTCAGACTTTATAAATAAAATATAAGCCTGCTTATTTCACACAAAAATGAATTCATGAGATCATGACATGGTTTCAGAAGAGAGTATATTCTAGATTGCAGAAAACGAAGCTGTATACAAGTTATTTCTCGAAAATTGTTTATTTTCAAATTTTGAATTTTGAAGATCATATCAATCGATACCCTAAAGGAAAGTAAAAAATTCGAGCTTGCTTTCTGCTATAGTCGCATGAATGTTTGAGGAAAAAAATTTGTTTCGATGTCCTCCGTGATCTTTGCAAACTTTATTTATATGACACCATGGTTTTTTTTCTATGACAAGAGAAAACATTTCTGGAATTTTCCCGAATGTTTCATGTTTTTTCCTTATTGTATACGCTATTTCTCTAAGTAACTGCCATCTGTGTTATCGAGTAAAATTGCGTGACTGTGAAACAAAACCATGCATTATTGATCTCTATTTGGTCCAGATCAAGTAAGTTTAAACTTTGGATGCGTATTACATGCAACTCAAAATCATTCCCCGAGAATAAAATCCTCTAAGACGCAAAAAGAACGTGGCACCTAGGTCAATGAACGCCAATTAGTAACCAAAAAAAAACCCCCCGAAGAGGTCGTATAATTTGACTCTGACGTCCAAAAACCCGCGAGGACCTCATTCATGCAGCATTAGCAGCAATGAAGAAAAAGATGCTGCAAAGTTTCGGATGCCAGAAAGAAATAATACCTACGTTCCTCCCTTAGTCAGATATTCCTTTACAGTATTTTACAAGCTAATCTTTGATCTGGAGGAGGATTTATTTCGTCCGCGTCCTGACCCAGCACCAGCAAGTCGGCAGCAGTGGGGAAACAACGAAGACTGATGGCATGGGCGAGGATAACAACATTCGTTGGAGAACTACATGTTTTTGTGGATATAAAAATTTCGCTGTTTTTTGTGTAAAAGACTCCTCGATAGCTGCGCTAAATTCTTTCAACCGGGTGGCTTTTTCGGATGCGACTACTGACAGCCCATTCAATTTCGGAATTTCCTATTTAAAGACAGCCGTTTTAAAACTGGGAAATGCAAGGGTATCATCTCTACAACGATCTACGATTTTCTGTGTACTGTATAGCGATTTTTTGTGGTTCCATAAGGTTCTCCCAATTTTTAGGGGTTCTCCGCAACAGAAGTTTTTTTTACAACGAATTATTTTCTGGTCCCACGAATTTTTTGTAATGAACGAAAAATTGAACCAGGGAATGAAATTATAACGTCAGAGAATCATTTTGGAACAAATGAAGTTTTAACATCACTGAATCATTTATTGTAGCAATGAGAGCATTGTGAAGCTCTTATCGTTCGAGAACGTCCTCTTCTCTTTTTCTTGACAAAAATAAATAAAGCTTAACTTGCTGATCATGAACTCATGATCAGCAAGTTAAGTTGAATAACAGGAGAGCATCTTTACCCAGATATACTCAAGGAGAAGCCCCGTTATAGAGGGAGCACCGTTGCACTGAAGTTTTTCATGCATTGATAGAAAGGGTTTCTATCAATGCATGATAGGGTTTCTAAAAAAAATCCGCTTGAAAAAATGTGTTCATGGAGAAAATGATTGTTGAGGAAGTTCATATCTGGATTTTATTCTTCAGCGGATTTTTCGACGGACGAACGATTAAAAAAAATTTTAAACTCATAGTGCTGGATTCGGAACTAAATTTTAAATTTGCGGAAGGACAGAATAGAAGAAAAAATAAGTTAATAAAAATCGTTGGCTTTTTGACTGTTTCTCGAGTCAACGTCATAGAGGTTTCAGAGAAAATAAGCTACTGAAAAATGTTTCTTATACAAATACGCCAGTTATTTTTCCTTCTCGCACTTTTCGAAAATTTTCGGCAAAAATGTGCCATAATTTTTTATTTTCAACGAGAGTGTGAGAAATCTACTTGTGTTCTATCGCCATTTTTTATAAAAAAAATAACTTGCGGTTGCCATTTTCGCAATGTCGAGATAGAAAGTTATGATTTCATGGACGAGCCCCGATTCTGTGATGGACTTCTCCACACTCGCCACCCGCAAGTGATATATTTTTGAAATTCCAGAAAACAGATAAAAATACAATTTATCTCCAACTGTCCCCTGCAAAAAAGTGACACATGTACAAGGGAACAAACCCGGGAATGTAGCTGGCTTATCAGTGACTTCAGAGATAGATGATCTAGATCTTCCCGTGTTTCGAAAGACCCAGACAAGTACTTGTCGAACACGTTCTTTAGGGTCGCATCGGTAAAGGTAACTATGTCACATATATTTATTGTCTCACAGCTTGCAACAATTATTCCTCGATAATTTATGCTGCAGCGCCACGCTTCAGTCGCAAAATAGTTCCATAAATTTCTTAACGAACTACAGTATTGCGTAATCAAGCATATACTGACCTGTTCTGCATATTGAATTACATTTAAATATTTAAAAACCTACGTTACTGAACGTATTTACGGCTGTTCCAGATTTCGACGTTGTATTCTCACTATGCAACGATGCTCGTCAAAAATTGCGAGAATATTTAGCTCGAAATCCGTGCAGTTCACGAGCATTTGATTGGAATTTATGAATGGATGATGGCTTCATGGAAATATATTTTGCTTCCGCAGGAAGTAATCCATCAGATTTTTGAAACTTGCGGCAGCACTAATTACTTCGCAATTAACATCGCTGCGGTCTAGACTAGAGATCCGTCGACTCGCGTCATTTAACGAGCGCATACCTGTTCGTTGCTGGCAATTAATTTTCTCTAATTACGAATGGTCAACGAATATTTCGGAAAAGTCATAAGATAAAATTAGTAATCATTTTATGCTTTTATCGTCAAGAGAGATACTTTTATAGTCATCTCTTCCTTCCGAATCGGGTAAATTTCTTGAAAAAAGTCCATACTCTTGAAGACGTACTTTCAAAGGATACGTTTTGCTCAACATTCACATGATGAGTTATGACAGAACGACGTAAATTTACCAACCTGACAGAGCATTCTACTTGAGTTCAAACAGCACCGACTACAGTAGTTCTTGTAGGCCGAAGTCTTGCTGCTTATAAAAAGGAAAGAAGTGCAGGTGACTTTTTACGTTCTTCTTTTGTACTAAGTAAGTGTGTATAGCGTAGTAATAAAATCCGTCAAGACAATTTTTCGCTCGAAAAACAAATTTTGAAGCTCGCCAATTTTGCAAAAAATAGTCAGCCTTCATTCATGTCACAGGGGAACTGAAGGAGGTATTTTGAATTTTATATCGTCTTTAGATTCTCGGCCTCTTAAAAAAAACTAAAAATTTTGGAAATCATCTGGATTTTTCTCTCTAAAATTGGATTTCTGTTAAAGGCCTAAAAATAAGGGGAAATATATGGTAAATTGTTTGTTGGTGCAGATTGTTCGAAGAATTCATCATCGAGCTTCCTAAAATTATTTTGGAAAGAGCCAGAATTGTAAAAAAAAAAAAAAGCTTATTGTCGGTTATGATGGTATTTCAATCGGAAAGCATGCTATGAGTGCTGTTTCGATTATTCATTTCAAAATCCGAAAACATCTCAAAAATCGCCCATATGATGTTAATTTCTTCGGATAAAATTGAAAACCCGGTGAAGTGGCTTTCTTGCACCGCGATGAATCCATCGCTGTTTCTGCGGACCTCCGAATATCATGCAAAATAATCTGCCTTATTCACGCGCGATTTCCTTCCGTCAATGCAATTCATTCTCACTTTCGAAACCACGAATGTCCAGTTATCCATCGAAACGAATGTGTCTATTGATTCGGTTCGACATTTGCACGTTAGCGGGTCGCGTCAGCAAGGAATAATGAGTCGTGTAACTTGTCACTCATCCGACGATAACAATGCGAGAGGCAGCCGAGGAATGGTAATCAACCCGGGGGGTGCGAGATCAAGTGAGCACCGAGGCCAATTGAGCGACACCCAACTCAGCGCTGGCGAACAACTCAGCGCCGCCA